TTACAGTTTATGACTATGACTCATTACCATTATGCATTTCATTCAAATTTCACATGCCCTCTTACACTGCTAAGACAGAAATATGCATGCCAGAGAATTACATGTTGAAACACAAAGGTTTGCAACCTCTTTCCATAAAATTCCACATTTACGAAGCACAAGTTCCTGCAATTTTTTTCTGCTCAGAGCTGGAGGGGACAAGAAACCAGACAGAGCTGGTGTGAGTCCCAGGGTCCAATAAGCTCTTTGAAACATATTCACTAACTAAAGACTTTTAAATGTCTCCAAAAAATGCAGGTGTGCAAATTACTCCTGATACAGACAGGAATTATGTTTCCAGCATCCCCTCAACCACCGTTAAACAACACCCCCACAAGCACTTTTCAGCTCATAAAAGGTTTATGAGCTGAAAAGTTCCTTCAGGTTTGGGTTTTTTTTTTTTTTTTTTTTTAGCTGCTAATCCATTACCTTCCAGCAACAGAATCAGCCCTCACCACCACAATACACAGGAGCTATGAGAACATAAAAGGACACAAGGTAGGATGTTTTGCATCTTTGCAGTGAAAGACAAACTCCTCCGTCCTATCTGATGCAATGGAAAGCTGCTAATGTGATAACACATCACAGTGCAGGGCTATTCTACTTTCTCACTTTCACAGCACAGTCACGATCCCAAGGGAATAGCCTGTTGTTCCACTCAAGTGAATGAAGTTTCAAGCTCCTTCCATTACGAAACATGTGCATGGTCCTTTTCGTAGCATAAAAAGGGATGTTTCCCCGCACACAAATATAGTTTCCTCATTAACTGGAACACCTGCCCTAGATCTGCCCATGTGCCATAGGCTGTCAGAAAAAACATGCCTCATATCCCTCATTAGTTTGTGCACCTGCCTCACACTTGCTTACATGGAAGTATATGGATTGTTTGCACAATACATTTTCTCAATGAAAACTGCCGTATTCTTATACAAATAAGCAGCTTAATCCATTCGGCAGTGCATTCTTTCTTACCAGCACTAGAGCACATTTTCCAGAATTTAAGCTAATGAGCTTGATCTACCAGGCCCCCAAATTAATTCTTTTTCCACAGGCAAATTCTTTTATCTAAAAGTAACTGAAACTTCCTTTATGAAAGTTTTAACTGATTGCAAGCATGCATTTTAAAAGCTAAGAGTGTAACTATTTACCTCTTGGATGACATAAGAAAAGAAGTTCTCTACGAGAAACTTTTTCTGGCCTAATAAATTTAAGAGCTTATTGTATTAGAAAATGTAAAATATTTAATATCAACTTTCAGTTATACTTTGCACTACTTCGTATTAAGCAGGGGGGGGCACATTTAAGACAGCCTAAGATCCTTGCCTCTATATTTACAAGATTTTCACCCAGTCAACATCTTTCAAGTACAGCTTGAGTCTAAAATAATAATGAAGAATAATATCCCACACATTCCATACATCCATAACACATTCCATACATCGACAGCACATTCCAGCCAAAGACTTCAAAGCGCTTCAGCGAAGTTGGTGCCAGTTTAGCGAGGGTTTGAGACTGAGAAGAAAGGCGCAAGAAATCCTTCCCACTTCTCCATCTACCAGCACGTGCCTACAGGTGAACTCACCAGGCTGCTCTCGCCACGCTTCACTGGGAGGTAGAACACCTGCCAGTCTCAAAGGGTCCCCTGTGCTGTAGGGGATATGCTCTGTCCTGCTTGCTAGGAACTGTTAAAAACATCTGTATCTCTCAAAACTCCATTCGTTCAGCGTGACCCTTCTCTTCCATGTGCTCATAACTAACAAAGACTAATGGCACCTCTGTGGAGCACTTAAATATTATTATGCCTACGCTACAGATGGCAAATGGAGATGCAGAGGGTAATATTCAGCTGTGTTAGTATAGTAGCAAGTTCTTACTGTAATTAAGTGATACGGCTGATAGGAAACAAAACATGGTACTTGTGTTTCTGTTGAGCCCTGCTTCACTATTAAACTGTTGCTTCTGGCAAAAGCTGAATAAGAAGGAGGTGAAGAAAGATGAAAAAAAAACTAATCTCATAAATATTTCCAACACTTGTGCATACACAAAAAGGAAAATATTATATTCATTTATACACAATACTGTTTATACAGCAAACCTCTCATTATTATTCATATTTGAAAGAGCTATCATTTGAAGGGCTTTGGTAAGCAAGTTGTCATTTCTTAGGAGGCACTTTTGGACCCTTGTCTTGAAAATCATGAAAGCCTTTGCTTATAACCCTCACTGACCATTTTATGTTAAGTCATATTACCTTGAAAACATGCCAAAGCAAAGGAGGAAAAACCTTTGTTTTTTCATAGAGATGGAATCATGAAAACTGTATTTCTTGTTCCCATTTAGCTGAGAACAAAACCCCAAAGGTACAGCTTATGTAGTCCCTGTATGACTGCAGATCAGTTTTCAAAAAAAGAGTGATAGAATAAGAAGCTGAACTATGTCCTAGTGAAGGGCCTATGTTAGTAATATTTGGTAAATTCATTCCTCTTCAGTACTCCTATGAACATTTTCTTTAGGATGAAGAAAAGTTTATGGACTAAGGAACAAAGGAGCGAAACTGGGCTTGACAGAATTTTTCAGATGCAGTCTTTCATTTCTGGAGAAAGAAAAGAAAACACTAATCCAAATCCTCAGACAGAATAAATCTTTGGCAGCTCTAGCTTAACTTGTGGTAAGTAGGTATCGGGTGCCTTTTCCCTGTGCGTAGGTAAATGGAGGAATTTCCACTGTCAGACTGTGAAAAAGGAAAAATCAAAACTCCTTTTTGACCTTCCACTAGATACATGATAAATCCCTTTATGTTTAAAGAGAATACAGATACTGCATTCTCTTTATGTGTATATACCACATAGAGAATTTCATAATATTTCAAGAAAAAGAAATATTTTTCTATGCTGACAAACCAAAACATTCCTAAAGGCAGAACTTTAAGCGTGTATAGCTTCAACTCTACTTATAAACATCCCCACACATATGCATATATAAGCCTGGAAAATGCATGCACAGATTTAGAAAGTTTGTGAAGATGCAGAAGGCAAATACTGAAGAAAGTATGTCCTAAGGACCTGATCATCCAAGTGAAAGCAAAAGTAGCTATGAAGAGCAGCTATGCATTCAAACCACTGTCCTTTAGATAATCCAGCTGGAACTAATTCCTAATTTAATGTATCACAGTACCCACACCGTTCTGAAAAAAAAAGTGTAAAATAAGACTCTCCTTTATGTATATGCAAAGAAGTCCTGAATCATACACCTTGTGCACTACCTGAAGAAAACATCAAGTTTCCACACCCTCCCAAACCATCCTACTTCTTTCCGTCCACCTGGAACATACAGCTGCCCAGCACAACCCACTCTCCCATGTGCAATAAAGTGCAGTATAACTCAACAATGTAACAGGGAAAACTAGTTCACTACTAGACAGTGCAACTATTAATTATTAAGTCGAATTAACCAAACTTCCATAGGTACAAAAGTATTTCAGATGTAGCTTATCTCTAGTCTTCAGAAATTGCCCTTCTGTTCTGACTTACCAGACTTGTCTCATTTAATTGAGACTTCCAAGACACTGGCAACATCTAAAGCTTCAGTCAAAATAATGATAATATACCACAGGAACAAAAGTAGTGTTTAAATATCAAAATAACAGAACTATTATTTTCTAAAATAGAAGGTTAAGCTACCACTGATATGACTTGTGCAGTTTTACATCTTGCAAATATAGACTAGGGTAATAAGCATAAAGTGAGTAAAAATACAAAATCCACTGTATGAAAAGTCCAATAATGATATGGCACATCTCAAGAAAACTACTTCTGCCTTTTAATTTTTGAATGAAACTCTACGAAGCACAAACCTGACAAAAACAACCAAAAGACTTCAATAAATTTTGAATTCTGTTGCATAAGTTCTTCAGAAATATGGATGTTACGGATGAGAACCAATGAAAAAACAGTTTCATATATAACCATTCAAAAGCATTGCACATAGTTAAGGTATATAAGACATAAAATGAATTTTTACTGTGTCCCTTCAGAATATAAAATTATTATAAAATAACTATAAAATAATTAAACAGAATGCAACATTGAACCTAATAGGTATTTTGAGCTTTATCCTTTTTGTCAGTTCTTATACATTTAATTTTAAAAAACAAGGTTTTACCAAGTCGTCTTAAATAATAGTCAGTTGACAGGATTCTTTAATGTAAAATTTTGTAGCCTTCAGCTACTGCATTATGGAGAAATATTCATCATAAAACTCAACAATTCATCACTACTTCAGGAGTTTCTGTTCTGGATACCCATGGAATTGAAGCTACATACACATGTACAGTGCCATCAGCTAAAAAATAGAATGAAACTAAAAATTATGTCTATTTACATCACAGATTCTGCAAAATGGGTTAAAAAAAAAATTATGATATGCTACAAAAATATGCGAAAACCCTTCCCCCAAAAGGAGGTCCACTTGTGGACACAGTAGAGTGCCTTAACCTTTTTTAGCTGACTACACTGTACATAACGTTGTTAATTGCTACAGACTAATGGAATGTTAAAATAATCTAGCGCTTCGTTTAGGACTAGTAATGCATGGAATGGAAGCTGTGGAATTAAAATGCTTGTTTCAGATAGCTGAAGTTAAATCAGTGACCTGACAACATTAAATAAGAAAACTGGACTATAGTCATCATGATTTTTAAGAAGAAATACAACAGTTTCATATTCATCCTTATATAGAAATTAATCTTACCCCAAACCATATATATAATGCATTTCTGAGGCTTTTTTAATGGATTGAAAAGTAGACCTACCAATACTTAGTAAGTTGCTGTCTAGACAAAACTTGTACTTTGCATCCTTCAGTGATCCAAGAAACATCTCCGGTATATTCTAAAGTACACCAGTTTGTTACGATAAACTGTCCATTCTGATGGACTGCAGGTCTAAAAGGCAAAATCTTACCTGTATCATTGCCTGTGATTTGAATAACATACAATCTTATGTCATTTCCACTATCAGGTTGTGAAGTAGAAGGAGACACCTCTTGAGGTTGTAAAGCCTCTGTGGCCTCCTTCACTTTGGGTGGTGCAGTAGGTCGTGCAACTGCAGTAGCAGTCGATGCTGTGAAATATTCCTTATCGATTTCTGGTTCTAACACCTTTCCTGTCAGATCATCATCAGCAGTGGCTTTACTGGGAGAAATAGATTCATCAATTATGATGATGTCATTGCTTGTTACCTCCTCTTCTTCCTCAGGAATGATAAGTGGTGACTTTTGAGTAACAGAAGGTTTGGATGCTGATGTAGGCTGAATTTTGTCTACAGCACTAATGGAAGGTGTTGTTACATCACTGAGAATTGTTGCCTTGTCTGTGGCACTAGCTGAAAATACAGCAGTTTTGATTTCTTCAGGTTCTTCTGATACTCCAGAACCTTCCAGAGTTTGGCTTGGAGAAGCTCCCAAAGTCAGATGAGTAACGCTTTCCACAGTAGAATGACCTCTTGGCATCGTATGGGGGGCCAGCACAGATTCCCAGCTCACTACATCACTGTCTTCTTCCCTGGCAGGGGTTCCTCTGCTTTCATATGTTTTTGCTTGGGTACCCTCTGTTAAAGGCATCACTTCAGTGACCTTCTCTTCTTGATCAGTAGCAGTTTCAGCTTTCGGAGTCACTGTGAGATGCGACGTCCTGGTGCTAGCTTCATCAGGTCCCAGGATGCTTCCATAATCTGTGAGCTTCACTGCAGGCAGTGATACTTCTGTTGCTGGATATGTCTCATCATAAGCCGAACCTGTCTCATCCTGTTTTTCCTGAATATCTGTTTGAGATGATTCAGATCCTGATGCCGTCTTTTGTTCATGTATTTGGACAGATGTCACAGATAAGGTAGACTCTGTGGCAGTATCTTGTTCCTTATCTTGAGCTTCTGTGGAGAGTTCCTCTGGGAACACCTCACTATCTTTAGCAGTTGTTTCTGTTGCTTCTGTATGAAAGATACCATCAAAAGGAGTCTGATCAGTAACTGGCATATCTCTAGTGACCTCACTCTCTACAGTAACTGGAACTAGGGAAGCATCATGTTCTTTCTGTGGAACTGCAGTATCTACCTTTGTTACATCTGTAAATATAATCGATTCCTTTGTCCCTCCAAAGCCAGCTGATGGTGTTCCTTTTCCGTCTTGAAGGGTTGCCACTGACTCCTCATCAGCTGATGTCACAATGCTTGTTTGGCCTTCCTCTGTCACCATGTATTTTGAGACCTCCATTTCAGTAGAGACTTCTTCAGCAGGTGTTGCTACCGATGTCTCAGTAGCCTCTCTCTGTTCCACTTCTGGGGTAGGAATGGACGTTTTCAAAACATACCCTGATGTTTCATCTCCCTCATGTTCAGTTACCTCCATGACTGTGGGCATAGCAGTTGGTAATACAGTGACACTGGAGGAGCTAAGAGACTTTATTGTTGCACTACTTTCATCCACTGATATTTTGGATACTGTGACCATTTCCAAATCCAAAGAGCTGCTTGTGTGGGAGACACCTGTAGTATCTTTACTCTGATCAAAATCAGCTGACACAGCTTCTTCATCACTTTTTGTTTCCACTGGCTCCATGCTTGTCTCAGTTTCATCTGTAACGGCTGAAATCGGAGCTCCTGGATGCTTTGTATATTCTGTAATTTGCCCTGGAGATGATGTAGGCTCCATTCCAGAGGTACCATCTTCTGTATCTAACTCATCTATTCTCTTAGTATGAGATGACTCTTCTATCATATGCCCCTGATCTTTATCTGTCAGCAGCCACATGCCAGAAGCTGGAGGAGCCTGTGTGAACTTCTCACTTGCAGAACGTCCCTCAGATTCTGCTGTAACACGAGTAGGAATGACGGTTGTGGCATGAGGGATCTTAACATCCATTGTTCTCATTTCTGGCTCCTTTGTTTTTTCCTGCTCCTCTAAAATGGCTGATCCTTCCATTTGCTGAGATGAGTGGATAACCAATGTGGTGCCTTCTCCAAAGTTTTGTGGGGAAACAGTACTTCCTGCGAGAGTGATGGCCTCAGATCCTGTTTGATTAACAGTTGATACAGAAAAGGATACAGGTACTCCAGATGTCACAGTAGGCTGCACATCCCTCAGGTCCTCTCTGCTTCCTTCAGCTGATGCCTCATTATCAAACACTGTGGCAGAACTAAATTTAACAAATGGAGTTGACTCATCTGCTGTAGAAAACTGTCCAGTGGTTACTGCATGCTCATCCACGAGTGTCTCTGATGCAGCAGGCAGATCTGATTCTGCGATGCTACCAGTAGCTATGCCAGAAACTCTATCAGGGATAACGGTGTACATGCTCTCTCTGCCCTCCCCCTCTGTGGTAAGATCATACTGATCAGTGAACAAAGCTTTAGGGATTACAACAGTTGTAAGTTTCTTGTCAGATTTCGCCTCCATTGACTTTTTTGTGGGTTCTTTTGTTGAGTGGGCACCAAGATACATATTCTCTTTTGTTAGGGAAACTGAAGTCCCTGTCCTGGGAAACTCTCTCCGAGAAGTTGGTAACAAGCTATTTGTAGCTGTCATCACAGGACCCACTTCTATTTGTTCAGTCTGATTATCAGCATCATGTTTTTGTGTATCTCCTGTTTCAGTATCTTCCCATGAACCAGTGGAACTCTTAGCTACAGCTGTGCTATCCTGAAAAATTATAGAGGTCAAGAAAGCGTCCTCAATGCTTTCAGACCTACCTTGTTCCTCGGGCAATTCTGCTTCAGAGTAAGAGTGCTCCAGTTCCAAAGCTGCAGATGTGCTCTCTGTTAACCTAGGTGAAACATCATATTCAGTCCTCCCCAGTGTATCGTAAGTGCTTATTTCGCCATCTGTGACAGTCTGAGGTAGAAGGGTGGTTAACTTAATGTTCTCCATAAGCACCTCCATTTCCCTTTTTTCCTCAGCCACATCAGTAGTCATTTCTGTATCTTCTTCAGTCTTTAGGGTTGTTTCCTCCAAAGCAGGGGCCTCTGTTCTGGTGATGGCCACTTCAGTAATCGAAGTCTCAAGAACAGGAGGTTTAAGAGTAACTTTAGCAGATGACAATTTCACACTGTCAGTTTTCAGAGACGTAATCAGCTTAACAGTTGTAGGCTCTGATACGATTTTTTTACCTTAAAAAAGAAAAAAAAAAAGTGAAGGAATCATTCAGTCAGAACACAAACAAATGTTACTTTAATTCAGTTTGAATGTTCCCAACAAAAACTAAACGTTACACTGAGAAATAAGTATAAAGTTCAAAGGCCTTAGATAGCTGTTTAGTGTACAACAGAGCTTTGAATGACATAAAATAACACATTATAAAGCTGCAGAACATCTAACTTAAAGTCAGATGAAATGAAAAGAGAGGCAGTATCCTTCATATTCATTGTTTATATAATTACCTCCAGAAGTCCTCATATTATACAAATACCCATTAAACAGCTAAGTACCGATCAGGGAATATAAAAGTTTATTTCATGATGTCATGAAAGAGTGGTGCTGCAAACCTGTGGGTTTTCTTCAAAGCTTACTGTAGCACACAACTCAAATGTATAAAGGGAGTGAAATACCACTTTAGTTTATTTTCAGCACGTAATTACAAATTGCAAAAAGGAACCCTCACAGGAGTGAGAGCATGCTTAAGCAACAGGAACAAACATGCCATCAGAAAGTACTGTTTTACAGTGCTGCAAGAGCTGCTGCCCTGCATTTAAATTATACTGAGAGAAATTTATTATGGGGAAAGGTGAGAACAGTAAACCATAAGATCATAAACTTAATAGTATAATGATGTTGATCTTTGGAAAACACTTCAAAGATATACATTTGAAAGTCCTGCACACACAAAAGTGCTTCTATGGGAATGTTGAACATGAAAAGGCAGAGTGTTGAACCCTCCGAATGATGGGAAGAGTAAGGGGGTAGCTATCCCAGATTTGTAAGAGACACAGAGAAAGGTCTTTCCAGTGAACCAAACTGTGATGTTTTAAAGAATCTTGCTGTCTTATCTCTTGTTCACTCCTTCTGCTGTAGATTTCCATCCTGTCTGAGGAGGAAATGTGTGCCAACAACCATGACACTGCAAAGTCTGGTATCAGATTTTAAACTCCTGAAAAAGGTGAGTTTGTGCTAAGAAAACAGAATTTGCTTGGGAAAAGCCCGGAGTGGAAACATCTCCCCTTCTGCCAATTCTTCCATGTTGGTAATCTTCAGAAGGGCAATGGGAGCAGACAAGTGGAAGATGTGAACAGCACTTAAATCAGTGCTGCTAACTGTTAAGTGACTGAGAGTCAAAACCCTTATACAGATGCTAGTTAAGAGAAAAATATGGTCCTTTAAATCACACTAAGCACATGAAGAATGTGTGTATGAGGACTGACTGCTTACCAGACAGACACAACTACATGTATAGCTTCTTGCAAAAGAAAATACTGCTCAGCTTCTAATAGAGCAAGTTTATTCCCCTAACATGCAGAAATCAAAACAGTTACAGGATTTTACAAGAAACTATTGAAGCCAAAGTCTCATTATTATTGCTGTGAGTTAAAAGAGATTGGGAAACTTTACTTAATGTAAGGTATGAATACCAGTTATGAGGGGGAAAAGTGAGTTCTGAGATTGGAGTTTTATTGCCTGGCATACAGGGATGGAGATGTTCTAGATGATGATGATGCAGCCTCTGGCTGACACAGGACTTGCGGGAGCTAATAGTACGAGCAAAGAAGAGGAAGCAAATAAATGAAAAATTTAGAAAGACTCAACTCAGTCGCGTATTTGTGCAATGGCAGCTTATATGCAAGCATACGCAGTATGTATGCACAAATCAGTTCTTTTCACACACCCATGTCTAATTAGGTACCCCTTTGATATTTGTAGATATGAATTCCCCATGTGTAAGTTAGGGTCACACAAATATTTGTTTAGTTTCACACACCAAGCTTTGAAAATGTCACCTTTGCAAGAGAGCTATGTGATTTACCCTAAAGTAGATAGGCTTGCCAGACAATGGCTTCTCAGGATTTCTAGAAGAACGGGTAGATTTACAGAGTAGGGGAATAAGGGAAAAGAGCCGATATTTCGGCTTTCTTGAATGAGAAGTTAAAGCAAAAAGGAAATTGTGAGGGTAAGAAAATATGACGTCGCTATGTTTAGAAGCGGTGGTGTTCTTTGCCAGCAGAAAAAGGAATGGATCCTTTTCCCTACCGTATGTTAAATCTTTTTGTGGTTTCACAAAGATGACTTAGCTACTTATATACTCTTCTTTTTTTTTGTAGGTTAAAATATTCAGTTGAGCAAGAAGGATTAAAGTTCTTGAAATCCCACTAAGCAAAGCACGGCCTTCACGCAAGTGATTTTTGTGTTTTGGGGTTCTACAACTAAAGTGGATGTTTATTGTTCTTTTCAATACCCATGTGATTGAAGTGTGAGATGGTGTTCCCACAATCAAGAATCAACAAATTCTTACAATTTTTCTTCCCTCTCTGCTTGTATGAGGATGGTTTAAACCACAGTTTTACTTCACAACCAGGGAATTAAGAGTGCACACCAGTAAGTTAGCGCTGTCCTGATGAGTTGTAGTTGGTAAGTGTTAAATTTATACCACAGAATACACCGATTTGCCTTAACAGCTCTTTTTTATGTCAAAATAGAAAGGAGACAGCATAGTCACATATTCTCCCTTCTTACCATAGGATGAGTTTCCTTAATGCTGATTGAATTTGTTTTGCAGCCAACATCGAGACCCCAATTACCATATTTTAAGTGACTATCAAGATCACTGTTTGAAAGTATATGAAGACATAATACCTTCTAACAAAGCTAGATGAAAATGAGGGCATGAGAACAGATTTTAAAATTTGTGGGGAAAAAGGGTAACTATTTCATCACTGCTGGAAAATAGTGTATACTTAATAACAATCATTCATGTAGCTTCCCAATTCCCAATAAATGTTTGAAAGTCCCAAAAGTTCACATATTTATGCCTGAGATGCAGTTATTTGTTGTTCATGAGTCATTTTCTGCTAATTAGTTGACAAAATAGGTACACATTTATGAAGTAAATCTGAAAAAGCAGCAAGTGTATTTGATTCACTCATATTAATAAATGAATCAATAAATATTCAATTCATATGCTGGTGTAAGAAAAGCACTTTTTAAAAAAAGATTTTATCAATAAACAGCCAAATTTTCTCCTGTGGAAACTGACATGGGGTTACTAGTGTGCAAAGAGTAGTTCTGGTTAAAATCAGCTACAGGGCCTCTAAATCTGCTTTGCCATAAATATAAGATTTTTTTCATACAGATAATTCAGGTTTGCAAACTTATTTGAGTGGATCAGAAAAAGATGTTTCTTCAAAGAGAAATCTATCAATGCTGTTGGGTTTTTTCCCTGCAGGAAAAGAAAAAACCAAAGAGAAGGTTGCTTTTTTAATAGACTGAACATCAGTTTGAACTGTCGTCCTCTCCACCCAGATGTTTTGCATTACTGTACTCCTTGCATCATGCATGCAATATGCTATCTCTTTTGTCCTTCTTCTGATTTAAGACATGAGGCAGATTTTCCTAATAAAATTCATGAACATATTAGCCACAAGAAAGCAAATTATCTCACCAACAGCTGCTCACATCAAAGTGTATCTTGTCATTTTTTAATCAATTCCTTTTATATTGAACAACCTGCATGAAGTTGATTTTAGATGGAGTATATGACTTTCCAGAGATACTATATATTTTCACTGTCTGTTTATTTACTTTATGCTTTCACCGTACAGCATTTTCTTCCTTTTCTCTCCCACCATTGTTTAAATAAGGATTCAAAATAATGTAGCAATATTAAAGCTTAATATTTTTTCAAGGAAATCACACTACATAATTTAGATGTGTTTTAACTTTGTGATTACCAAATAAGGATTTTAGTATGCTCTGTGCTGTTTAATAATACTTCCAGGATATCTGGGTGTACTTTCTGGAGGAGAAAATACTTATTTTAAAGCTTATATATATTAAAAATTTATACAGACGTATTTTCAGCATAACCAGTTCTACAAAATTCTTAACTGTGTCTAATTTGAATCACTTGAGCAGTTTCTCTGCACTCAGAAATATCGCTTTGTGTTTACATTTAGGTATGTACTTAGCAACCTGGAAGAACAGAGACTCTACAGATAGAAAAAGAAACTGTTTTGAGTCATTGCCAACAATCAAAACAACAAAAAATTGGTTTAAGTCAGAACAAAACCTGGAAATAGTGAATTCTTTCTGTGAATAAAGAATTATATATGTGAATATTCTGCCAGAATAAATTACTCCAAAATATAAGTGATGTTAAGACAGTCAAAATTAACAGTTTGACATCTTCCAGCCCTTTTAGAGCATGATGTCAATGCAGAGAAGATGCTTTGCTTAATTTTTGCATATTTTTGCATGTTAATTTCTGTTTGCTGCTTTGTTAAGTTTATTCTGTGTCTGTCCCTTCCCTGCTACCAATCCTGGCAGAAAGGACAGTCTTGAATGTTCCCCTGACTCCAAGAGTTATGCCAGCTGGAGTTTAAATTGTTGGCAGAACCTCCCAAACTGCACAAGTCTAACAGTAAGAACAGATCAAAAAAAAAAAAATATTGGTGCTCTGGATTACAGACTAAGCCAGAAACCTCTCGTTGTTGCGTTGTTGCAATGCCTCAGTACCTGCTCATTCATTCATTTCAGGAAACAGAATGGTGGACAAGGAATGTGGAGTTTTGCTCATTACTTATGAGACCCGTAGTAGCATAAGGAGGACTCAAAATATGATACTGCAGCTGTAAGAGTTTCTCTATAACTCCTGCTGCTTATTCCCACTTACCTATACTGTGTTTTGACATCAAAACACAGGCCAGATGCCATGAGAAAAATAATTCAAAAAATCTAAAAGCAGTATCTATTCCACTTACAAAATCCATGCAATAACAGAGAAATTAATGTGATTCTTAAAAAAAAAAATAAAAAATTAAAAGCTATTGGACTATCTTATTTTTAAGGAAAAACTTAAAAACATGATGGAAGGTCATGCATCCTCTTCACACCATTATGCCCATGGTTCTTCCAGCTGACAAAACAGCAGAAGCAGCAGCTCTATTAGCTCTGTGAACACAAA